ATTATTTTGAATATAAAAGAGAGAGATGGTTTACTTGTCAAGAGTAAAGCCAGGTTGTATTCATGATTTTATCTGTGGAAAACCTTTCTTTCTGCCCCTAATGAAATGATGGAGGAATGTTGAAAAACAGAAAAAACACATGCCTTGTGTTTGTCTCTTAGAATTCTGAGTATCTTACTAATTCATAAAAAGACTATTTTGGAAGAGTAAAGAGAGAAGGTTTGGGAGAATAAAGAGGATTTCTAATTTGGTGCTTACTTTCATTTTATACAATGGAATCCGATTATATCCTAATCTGTTTACCTAAATTTTTGAAATTAATTTAATATCCCCATGCCATTGAATTGCCTTTGAAAGCACAGTTATAAGTAAGAGCAAGCATTCACTTATCTTGGAAGTAACACTATTTCTCTCATCTATTGTAAGACATTTATATTGTTTTCTTTTGTGAGGGAGAGGGATAGTATGCATAGTAGTGAAGTAGATTACCAGAGTACATATACGTTCATCAGCATCTGTTCACATGTACTTTTGAGGGATCCCCAGAAGTTGCATAACTGGTGAGAAGAAGCAACTATTTTTAAGGTGATGATATGTGCTGCCAAACTGTGTTCCAATTTCTACTACTACCAGGAAGTAGTGAAGGTGGCATTTATCATACTTATTACTATCAAAATAAAGCAATATCACAAAAGGCTTGCATTATTTAAAAAAAACCCAAACAACAGATATTTGCTTTTTGTGGACAAATAGACTTGAAGACATATAGACCAAACTGTTCTCAGCAATTAAAATCTTTGCAACAGACTCTGTTAAGGTTAGGAGAGAATTGCTTTGAGAATACCTATGGAGAAGCAAAAAAAGGAAGTAGTGCCTCTGTTGGACAATTCCTTGAAACCTGGGAACATCAAGGTTAGCAAGAATCCCATGAAAGAGAAAGACAAATATTAAATGGAGCAATGGGAGAACAGTTAAGATAAAATTTACCTCTGACACATGTCTATATAGAGTTGCATCTAATTTTGGAAAATGTCAACTATTATTGTTTTCAGGGGTTGTCATAACATAGTGCCACAGATTGGGAGCTTAAACAACAGAACAAAAATCCTCCCCATGATTCTAGAGACTAAGATGTCTAAGATCAAAGTGTCTACAGGATTTATTTCTTCTGATGGCCCCTCTCGTTTGTGTCTTCTCTTTCAAGCTTTACAAGATCTTTCTTTGTTTCTCTGTGTTCCAGTCTCTTATATCAACACCAGACACAGTGGACTAGAGCCCACATTAATGACTTCATTTTAAACTAACTCTATTCTGGGCCTCCCCGGTGGCGCAGCGGTTGAGCGCTGGGTTGCGAAGCTGCCCGCAGCCTCTGCAGCGCTGGTTCGATCCCCGGCTGCTCCCCGGCCACCGGAGGAGGGTCCCACATGGCCAGCAGACCTCTCCTGTGGCCCGCTGCTCCCCTCAGCAGTGTACTTCGGTCCTTCTGCCTGCTCTGCTCCCCGCTCTGGCTCTGGTGAGTTCTCTCACCCTCCCGCACTTCTGACTGTACCCAGTGCATATATAAACAAACAAACAAAAAAAAAAACAAACAAATAAATAAAAACATGCCTCTATTAAAAAAAATAAATAAATAAACTAACTCTATTCTTAAAGACATCTCCAATACAGTCATAGTCTGAGATACTTAAAAGCTAGGGTTTCAGGAGGCCTTCCTGGTGGCGCAAGAGGTTGAACGCTGCGCCATGAAGCAATCTGCAGCCTCTGCAGCACAAGTTCCATCCCTGGCCGGCCAGGGAGAAACCCACATGGTGAGGCAAACATCTCCTTCTTCACCCACAGCTCCCCTCAGCAGCGTATTTCACTCAGTCTGCCTGTTCTGTTCCCCACTTTGTCTCTGGTGGATCCTTTCACCCCCATGTCTGGCCTGTGCCCTAGCTCTTGTATGCATGAATAGATAAATCTTTATTTTTTTTGAATATTTATTTATACAAGCACTGGGTACAGTCAGAAGTGCAGGAGGGTGAGATAATTCACCAGAGCCAGAGCAGGGAGCAGAACAGGCAGACTGACGACAAAATACACTGTTGAGGGGAGTGGTGGGTGGCAGGAGAGATCTGCACACCATGTGGGACACTTGCCTGGCGCCCGGGGATTGAACCGGTGCTGCAGAGGCTGCGGGTAGCTTCGCAGCCCAGTGCTCAACCACTGCGCCACCAGGGAGGTCGTAGATAAATCTTTAGGAAAAAAAAAAAAAAGCTAGAGTTTCAACATATGAGTTTTGAGGAAAATAATTCAGTCCATAATACCAATATATTTGCCTGGTCTCACCTTAACATATAATGTGAAGTACATTATTCATGATGCATACCTATTCACTGATTATATGGTATCATTACCATTTTTTATGAAGGAAAAATATGTTGTACACCATGATTATTCCAAATTAAAGCAGATACAAAGAAATTATATTTAGTAATTACTTGTATTTGATCTCTTAAATTCACTGAGCATTCTATGCATAGCATCTCTCATTGGTATATAACATATATTGAACTTGCTCCTGAAACTAGGTCATTCTTCAATAGGGAAAGTAAAATGGTGTTAAAATTTCCTTCATGATGGGTTGGAAAAGTAAGTCATTTAAAGGACTTACCATTTTAATAAGGTGACATAGAGTAACTCTGCTACTCGCCTTATGATCTTCTGACAGCTTTGACAGTGAAAAATGATGTAACTGGGAGAAAGACTACTATGATGAGCTCCAGGTTTATGCTTACAAACTTGACACGTGACCTGGTTAGTTCTATTTCACTTAGGAAATAGATACATCCAATTTTGAGTATAAATGATAATGGTTATTCTATGCTTCACACTATGAATAAAGCAACCTTAATCCTATTTTTAAGTCCTGACAATTTCTAATGACCAGAGAAATAGAGATTTGAGATGCTAAAGATGGTCTGTTTCCTCCACAAGTCAAACTCTTGTGTTTTCTGTGATAAATGTTTTATAGTCTAGCATTGACACTGACTATCCAGAGCTTTGTACAATGTCTTCACCCAACTCTTCTACTTCTATGATTATTAGACAATTGGATTTTTGCTTGACCTGTGGAAAATATTAAGCGATTCCCTGTCATTTATGGAGATTTTCTGTTCCTCTAGCCATGCCAGACCACAAGTGAAACACAGAACATAAAATTACAGCTAAGAAATATTATTCCAGTCCAAATATTACATCAGTCCAAAAAAAAAAATAACGCTGCCACCTTTACTTTATCTCAAGATTCTTTCAAGAATAAAGCTTGTCATCCATACTTATATTTCTAAGTTATTTTTGATGAAATTATAGTTGTGTGAATAAAAATATAATTAAGTTAAAATATAGATAAAATGCAAATGAAGAATTTGATACTAAGAGATGAATAGAAGTATAGTTGAGATATTTATTTAGAATATCTAAATTGTAGCATAATATTTTTAGGAACTATTTTTTGTTTTTTTTTAAGATTTATTTATGCATACAAGAACTGGGGTACAGTGTTTTTAGTTTTCATGCCTAGTATTTATTGACCATTTACTGTGTTGCAGGGAGGAGTCTAAGCAATTTATTTGTATTCACTTAATCTTTACAACAATTGCATTGTAAGTGAAAAACTGAGTCTCAGAGGTCATGTAACTTGTCTAAATGCAAGCTGCTAATTATCTAAGGACCAAGGTTCAAATCTATTAAGTTTGAAAGCTAGTTTGGGCCATAATATAAGGAAGTTGGTTTAAAATTGTGTTTGCATGTGTTTAAGCAACCCAATCCTGTTAAATATTTCTTTATGTCAACACCTTAACTGAGTGTGTATGTGCACATTTATACTCTAGTGTTTGCGTGTCTGTTCTGCTTAAATAAGAGCTGAGGGAACATTCCAGGTGCCCAGTGACTTGGATTCCAGGAGCTCTTGAGACACTTCCATACAACAGTGAGAATATCTTAGTTTTTAGATTGAACCCAGTTTATTCAATCATGCCCTCTAATGCCTTCCTAAGCTGAAATTCCTTGAGTTTGAAAAAAAAATAATTTTATTTCAACTTTGTAAGTGCTATTTATCGTTTGTGGTAAAACTTTTATTCCTTAATAATGGAAGAGATCATAAAAAAAGTTTATTCCTTCTAATTTTCACCCCACATCTGGAAATTTCAGACAGATAGGATGCCAAGAAACAGGAAGAAAGTGAGTGGTTCTTTTATACTACATTTAATTGAAGTTCCTGTATTATCACATTTGCAGTGAGAGTTCTTAGATTTAGATCTTTGATTTTATGTAGGTGGGTCTCTGAAAATATCTGGAAATGTGGCACTGCTTTTAATAGAATAATAAAATAAAAAGGAATGATGGAACACTGGACTTTAGTACAGCAATACGTGATTCTTTTTCCTCTTTTGATTTTTAAAATACTCAAGTTCATTTGAACATATTTATATCTATTATCTGCACATACATTCTAGTTTCACTGCCTAAAAAATTGAAACATTATTACTGTGAAAATGCTTCTCTGTTAACTTTGGTGCTCCGTTGCCATTTTTGATGAAGAAATATTATAAGGCTTTTATAATAAAATCTATTTAACATGCTTATTCATCTTCCTCTTTTGAACCTAATAATTCATGTAATATTTATGAAAAGTAATGTCTAAGTTTTGACATAAAATTGACTTTTGTTTATCAGGGACTGTATCTGCTTCTATACTTGTTTCTGGGGAAAAAAATTGAAATAAGTAGAGCTTCTTTGAGGTTCAGATTGAGAAGTATTTCTGAATATTTATATCCTGTACTTTATTTTCTTAGTGAACTTTAGTGAAAAAGATAAAAGAGAACATCTTTTTGAAGTTAATATATTATATACACTTTATGAGCTTGGTGTCAGCCATGTTCTTGTTTTAATTTTACATATTGCCATCTTGCAATTTTCTTATTAAATTTATTAACAAATACATATATTTTTTACATTAGGTTCCTGTCCTGAGACCACAGCAGAATGTGCCTTGGACAAAGGTATGTACCTTTAATTTATATTACACAATTTCCACATGAGTGAGGTATACAAAACTAAAAATAATTATATCTCATACTTTGTTATTTGGAATTATATTCCATTTTCTGTGTGTGTGATGTTAGCACTTTTCCATCTGGCAAAGTATAATACTAATGAGAAAACATCAAAATTGAAAATCTGATTATTAAATATATACCATCAGCTGGGCACAGGAAACCTTAATCCATACAAACACTATTCAAAGAACTGTTATCATTAATGCCCTAGCATGTAAAGCAATGAAAGTGTTCTTAAATTTATGAAAGTTATTTAGCACAGTCTTCAATGACCGAGAATTAACTAACAGCAATACAATAATGTGAGTTAAATGGCCAGTCAAAAAGCACCTAAAATGCCTCGGTTTGGGGTGGGGTTGCTTTAAGCAGTGGAATTAGTTTGGAGTTATAAATCAATGTGGAAGGAAGAAGCAAACAGTAAAATACATATAAACAAGACTCAGCAAGCGGTATGTAAATTACTTGATGTGAAAGATAAGGAAGAGAACAGAAGGCCAATACAGGATTCCTATTATTTCAAATTAGAATGCTACTGTAAAAAGTATATGAAGAAAGATCACTGTAAACATTATGATCTGTAATGCTCATGAATCCCTAGAGGAAGCTATAAAGAAACTTATAAAATAAATAAAAAGTGCATCATATGAACTCAGTGGTAAAGTTCAAAGGAACCTAAGATTCTTAGGGAGCATACAGGAGAAAAATAAAGACTGATAAAATGAATGTCAGCACAGGAGCTATTAAAACCAGTCCTCTTTGGAGGAAGTAACAAGAGGAGAATTGCTTAAACTAGTACAAAAGGAGTTTAAGTTAGTTACAGGATAACGTATAGAGAGACGTTTTGGTATCGTTTTCTGGATGTATTTAAATATCTAATAGAGTCACTAATGTCAGATTATAATTTTACTAAAGCTTCTTTAGATCAGTTACCATCTAAAGGGTCCTTCCAACCCCATGAAGAAATTTATGAGGCAGCGAACTTTATTTTTCTGGGTGATAACTTTGTATTGAACAGAATGTTGGGAGTTTGTGGTTAAAAAATAAAAATGTGGGCATATTAATAATCATTAGTAATAATTGATGCCTGGTGTCTCTTAAGTAAACATGATATTTGAGAAAATACACATATATACATCATTATATTTTTAATTTGACTAAAAATATACTATATGTGTTCTGCCACATTGCTCTTAGAAGATAATAAGTAGTCTACAAACATACTCCTATGTATATATGAATAATTTTCTGTGATTTTAAAATTGAAACATACTTCCAGATTTTTTCATGATGCTATTTTTCATACAATATTCCTCTTAGTCATTTTCAATCCCTATTCAGAGAGTGGTGTGACTTTAGAATACCCAAGAAAAATATGCCAGCTGATATGCACTGCCAGACAGAGAATGGATGGCTCCAGGCACAAATCTCTGTTGTGTCAAGGCTTTGGCATGACATTTGGCAGGGAACTAAATCAAATACTACACAATGCAAATAATCTCAGTTTCCCATAGATGTGCAGCCTCAACCCAAGCCTGCTGTTAGTCATTACTACTCTTTACCCCTGATAATTCAGAGAATGACATTTCTGGTAATAAACTGAAAACTAGTGTATTTTTCTAGGTGTTCTAATTTTGAGAAACTGAGAGGATCATGGCTTTAAAATTGGACCTTCCTAGATTTGAAGTGTGACTTTGTCACTTATTAGCTCTGGAATACTGGACACTTTACCTCATTTATATAAAGAATTTACTAATAGCTCATCAAAGAGTTTGTATTAAAATTACATGGATTTGCTATATAGCCTCCTATACTGTTACATAGCAGACATTTACTAAATGTTATTTTACTCTTTCCTGAGTTGGATTTTGTGTTAACCTTCTTAATAATCATGATCATTCTGTGAACTGAAGAATAATTCAAATAGATATTTGTAAGTTTTGGCTTATGCAGGCATGTACAATAGTATTTGTGTTTATCCTTCTATGGTCTTTTTTGGATACTGAGAAATAAGAGTTTTTGCAAACTTTATATTTTTTAAGTTTCAATTCTTTATTTTTAAAGAATTATCTGTGATGCAAATGTTAGTGTGATCAAGAGAAACTTTATTTTAAATGCTTATGACTTAGAAAAATCTTAACTCCATAGCATGTACCAAAGAGTTGGTTCAGTAGCTAGTTCAATTCTCTTCTTTAAAAAAAAAATATTTATTTTCTCTGTTTCTACATCTCTCTCCTCTCCTTCTGGGATTCCTATAACTCTTATATTTCCTTTCCTCATGGAGTTATTTCCTTTCCTCATGGAGTCAGATAGTTCCCGAAGTCTTTCTTCGGTCTTTTTCCTTCGTACTTCTCCTTCCCTTTCTGTTTTAGTTCTTTTTATTTCTGTGTCTTCAAGAGTACTTATTCATTCTTCCATTTCATCTATTCTGCTTTCACTGCTTTTCCCAGAGTTCTTTAGCATCTCCATTAATTCTTTGATCTCCTGCATTTCTTTTACTTCCCTCTTTAGGGACTCAATTTCATTCTTCTGGTCATTAATTATTTTCCCCTTATCATTGTTTTCCTTTATGACTTCTGTCAGTTTTTTAATCACAGCAATTTTAAATTCTCTATCTGGAAGGCTCAGAAGTTCTTCCAAGTTACTGTCGTTGCAATCTGGTAGATGGTTTTCTTTTTGTGGTGTGCTATTTTGCTGAGGAGTTGCTGGGTTGCATGTTGTTTTTCTACTCCCTACTGCCTGTTTTCTAATTTGCCGTATTCCTTGTGACACTGTGTTGCTGGTACTGGCCGGCATCTTGGGCGACCTTCCCAGCTCACCACTGGCTCCTCTGGGGAACTTCTGCTGGGTTCATAAGTCTCCAGCAAAGACAGGTCCCTGCTCTGTCTCCTCGGTGAGCCTTCTGCTGGGTTCACACAGTCTCCAGCAAGAAGGGTCCCTGCTGCAAAATGCCAGAGCCAGGGACGCGCTCCTCTGCACGCCTGGTCTGCCCCAGCGGTGGGTGCTGCTCCCCTCTGGGCTGGAACTGCAGGCTAGAAGGTGCCCGGTGTGGGCAAGCCTCCCAGCTTAACCTCTGTCTCCTCGGTGAGCCTTCTGCTGGGTTCACACAGTCTCCAGCAAGAAGGGTCCCTGCTGCAAAATGCCTGTGCCGGCGACGCGCTCCCCTGCACGCCCGGTCTGCCCCAGCGGTGGGTGCTGCTCCCCTCTGGGCTGGAACTGCAGGCTAGAAGGCGCCCAGCATGGGCAAGCCTCCCAGCTTACCTCTGTCTCCTTGGTGAGCCTTCTGCTGGTGCACACAGTCTCCAGCAAGAAAGGTCCCTGCTGCAAAATGGCGATGCGGGAACGAGCTCCCCTGCACGCCCAGTCTGCCCCAGCGGTGGGTGCTGCTCCCCTCTGGGCTGGAACTGCAGGCTAGAAGGCGCCCAGCATGGGCAAGCCTCCCAGCTTACCTCTGTCTCCTTGGTGAGCCTTCTGCTGGTTCACAGAGTCTCCAGCAAGAAAGATCCCTGCTGCAAAATGGCGATGCAGGAACAGCTCCCCTGCACGCCCGGTCTGCCCCAGCGGTGGGTGCTGCTCCCCTCTGGGCTGGAACTGCAGGCTAGAAGGTGCCCGGTGTGGGCAAGCCTCCCAGCTAAACCTCTGTCTCCTTGGTGAGCCTTCTGCTGGGTTCACACAGTCTCCAGCAAGAAGGGTCCCTGCTGCAAAATGCCTGTGCCGGCGACGCGCTCCCCTGCACGCCCGGTCTGCCCCAGCGGTGGGTGCTGCTCCAATTGAAGAGAACTTCCCAAACGCTAAGAAGGATCTGAAAATTGATATACAAGAAGCAAGAAGAACACCAAACTTCCATGACGAAAGGAAAAATACAGCAAGACACATAATAGTAAAGCTCCCAAGAATCCAAGACAAAGAAAAAATAATGAAACTAACAAGAGGGAAGAAACAGATAACATTCAAAGGGAAACCAATCAGACTGACATCAGACTTCTCTGAAGAAACACTACGGGCAAGGAGAGAGTGGAGGGACATAGTCAACAGACTCCAAGAAAACAGATGCCAACCAAGAATACTCTATCCCGCAAAGCTCTCCTTCCTCTTTGAAGAAAGAATATGGACCTTCCCAGACAAACAGAAACTCCGGAATTTCATTGCGACTAAACCCCCACTCAAAAAAATACTACAAGGAATCCTAAAGCCAGAACCTCAGAGGGACGAATAACAACAAAAGAAGGCCAAAGAAAGTTATTAAAAGAATAAATAAATAAAGTCAAAGGAAAGACAAACACAATGGCAAATACAGATGCTAACATATCAATACTAACTCTAAATGTAAATGGACTAAACTCTCCAATAAAAAGACACAGAGTTGCAGGCTGGATTAAGAAACAAAACCCAACCTTTTGCTGTCTCCAGGAAACACATTTAGCTGCAAAAGATAAAAATAGACTCAAAGTTAAAGGATGGAAAATAATTCTACAAGCAAATGGACCAAAAAAGAAGGCAGGAACAGCTATACTCATATCAGATAAAACAGATTTCAAACTTAAAAAGATAAAAAGAGACCCCAGTGGTCATTACATTATGATCAAGGGGATAATACTTCAAGAAGAAATAACACTCATTAACATATATTCACCAAACGAAGGAGCACCAAAATATATCAGACAACTATTGGCATCTCTGAAAACAGACATCAGAGAAAACACATACGTAGTGGGAGACTTCAACACACCACTATCAACAATGGATAGATCAACAAGACAAAAAATAAGTAAAGACACTAAAGCTCTAAATAAGGATCTAGAGTGCTTAGGCTTAACAGACATATATAGAACACTAAACCCAAAAAAATCTGAGTATACATTTTTCTCAAGCACACACGGATCATTCTCTAGGATCGATCATATACTGGGGCACAAGACAAACATCAACAGATACACCAAGATTGA